CATAACTAATCTGGTATTAGTGCAGACCCTTCAAAATCGCGCATTAATTATCCGCGCAGAGTAAAATTCATGACGCGAGAAACTTTTTTGTTTTTTTTCTAGAATTGTGTCACATATTTCGAATGAATTGTGACCAAAGGACACAAAAATGTTTTTCAGACGGAATTCTTAAGAAATGGGTTATTTCCTTTTGTCAGCAGTTTTCAGGAACACTAAAACGCGCAAAAGAAATTATTATTTTTTAAATAATTATTATTAATCGATTTTCGAATGGTGTCTCTAAGATTTAAATAACCATTAAACTTACAAAACTCAATATATTATATACAGGGTTAGTCAAAAGTATGGAATATATCTGATGAATTGTACAGTAAAATATTTTACCAGGTATTTTACCTATTAATATGAAATTTGTCCGTATAAATAACGCAATAAGACATTATTTTGAAAGCAAAATAATTGAATAAATCCTGTTTGGTATCGTCGGAAAGGCGGTTTTTTTCCTCTTTACGACTACATAAAAATATTCATTTCATTAATAATTAAACAATTTAAAGTAATATAAGCAACTTCCAGAATACTAGAGCTTGAAGTTTGAGTGTCATCAGAAAAAATTAAATTACTCATTAACCTGACGAGCACAAAATTTTAAATTAGCAGCACAAATTAGCACAAAATAGGCACAAAATTATGAGATACTTGGAACTTAATTCCTTTCAAGTCGACACTCTAACTTTACGGACCCCATCTCCTTGGCGAAAAACCTAAAGAGCACCCTTTCAGCGGACACCTCTCGGGTATTTCAGACTTACAGCGCAAAGTAGATCTTCAACTCCATTGTGGAGTCATTTGAACAGGAATGTCCCCTGACTCCTGAGCACTTCCAAGACGCGCTATAACCATCACTATGGTGGTTCAGAAAACTCAATTGGGCAAAGGCAAAGAAGAGCAAAGCAACAGCTGACTGGAAAATCTATAGGGTAAACCTATCACCTAAGGCAAAGAAGGACTTAAATACCCAACCCATTTTATGTAAAATAATAATAAATAATCGATAAAGACAGGAAAGTTTACCAAGATCACCAGATACAAAATGGTGGACGAGTATATACCTGTATAAATACAATGAAAGTGGATAAGGTGCAATTGTGTGTTGTCTAATGTTTTCGGTTATTAAAGTCATTACAATGATCTGTGGTTATTAACCTATAATGAGACATTAAGCTGATTAAGTCCGCGTGACGTTGAAGTTAAGTATTTTAGCGTACGTTGAAGAAAATCCAATTGCATCACTGTTTGTAATTTAGCTAGAGAAAATGAAATTTTCCACATGTTCGTATTGAATTCGACAATTCACAGCGAATGAGTAACTGAAAAAAACACTTTCCCGCACGTCATTGCAATATTCTGCGACAAAAGTTGTGTAACCCAAAAATGCCATTAGGTTTACCAAGAAAAAGTAAGCAAGTTATTTCTAATCTTATTCCTTATTTTGAACGAGGAAGAGATAATGGTGGTCCACTTTTACCAGTCGCAAGAGGAAGAGAGGCGCGAAAACTTAGGAAAATTCAGGGGAAAATACTACTATATTAATATTAAGAATTGAACATAGGAAATTTGTATGTTCAGACTTAAAATTTAACCACTGTATGTACTAAGCCCACTGGATTAATAAGAGTGGGAAAAAATTACGGAAAAGTAACAGCGTTTTTATGAACTTAAAGGCAGCGTTTGACAGCAGGATGGGAAAATAGATAATGAGGAGAAATACAGAATCAAGGAGAGCCGGGAAGAGAGTTTAATGCCTTCCTATTTGTATAATATTTTCCAGAGTTATTCCGAAACGGTCTGGCACATTACCAAAGCTGAATCCTTTCTAGAGGATTTCTTCTAACTTTATAAAGCGTTCCAAAACGCCAAGTCCTTTCCTAAACCGTCGAAGTCTTTTCTAGAGCTTTGTAGAATTAGCTACGCAGTCATGGAGTATGGCCTAAAAAGTACTAGGAAGGATCTAAGGAGTACCTGGAAAACACAGCGGTATAAATCTCCGAGAAACACCTTCTACCACTTTTGAAAATCGTAAATGAGAGCATATTCAGACGACTCTCATATTCTTAGGATTTTCAGAGCCGTCCAAAGCGCTCCTTCCCGCTTAAAAGCTCTTCCAAAACCTTTAAGAGCTTCCGACAATGTGGCTCAGTGGTAGAGCGTGGGATACATAGCCGAAGGTCGAGTGTTCGAACTTGGGCTGAGGTGAGAATTTTTAACCTGTGTCAGAGTCTTTAAGAACAGAGGTCGATTAGTTGTCGAGAGAATCTTGAAGTCTCCAAAGATTTTAGTATTTCTTCAAGAGGTATTAAACGTCGTAAGAAAGTAAGTAAGCTCGAGCCTCCAAGAACTTACAGTCCCCACGGTGTCAAGAAATCCTCCAGAGCATTATAAATGCTGTCACAACAGTATCCGTGTTTAAGTCCTTAGCAGTTCTAATAAGCTATTCCCTTAAAATGTTCGGATCGGTATTAATCTAAAATATGGTTTCCATGAAACTCTTAAAGCTCTTTTACATCGTCGTAGAGATTTTAAGGCGTGTATTACTCTTTGAGAATGCAACCATTCTTCAGCTTCATTAGCTTCTTCAGCTTCCTCTCAGACTCCTGGATTCTTCCCAGTTTCCTTTCAGATTCTTCTCCGCTTCCTCTCAATCTTCACTCAGCTTCCCCTCAGCTTCCTCACAGCTTCATCGGCTTCATCGCCCTCTTACGTTTCATTGGCTTCTTCTGATTCTTTAGCTTCCTCTCAGCCTCCTACCAGACTTCTTTTAGCTTCAATTCAGCTTCCTCTCAGCCTACTCTCAACTTCCTCTCAGCCCCCCTCAACCTCTTTTCAGCCTCCTCTCAGCTTCCTTTTTCAGATTCTTCAGCTTCTACAGCTTCTTAAGCTTTTTCGGATTCTTCGGCTTCTTCGGCTTTTTCACCTTCGGGCTTGGATTCTCCGGATTCTTCGGATTATTCGGCTTCTTCGGTCTCTTACGTTTCATCGGTTTCTTTGGTTTCTTCGCCTTTTTCGGCTTCTTCAAATTCTTTATCTTCCTCTCAGCCTCCTACCAGCTTTCTTTCAGCTTCCACTCAGCTTCCTCTCAGCCTCCTTTCGGCCTACTCTCAACTTCGTCTCAGCCCCTTCTCAGCCTCCTCTCAGCTTCTTTTTTCAGATTCTTCAGTATCTACAGCATCTTAAACTCCTTCAACTTCTTTGGCTTCTTCGGCTTCTTCAGATTTTTCAGCTTCGGGCTTGGATTCTCCGGATACTTCGGATTCTTTGGCTTTTTCGGATTCTTCGGCTTCTTCGACTTCTTCGGCTTCTTCGGCTTCTTCGGCTTCTTCGGATTCTTCAGCTTCTTCAGTTTCGAGCTTGGATTCTCCGGATACTTCGGATTCTTCGGCTTCTCCGGCCTCTTCGGGACTTATTCGGCTTCTTTGGCTTCATCAGCTTTTTCAGCTTGGGCTCGGATTCTCCGGATTCTTTGGATCCTCCGGTTTCTTCGGCTTTTTCCGCTTCTTCAGATTGTTTAGCTTCCTCTCAGTCTCCTATCAGCCTTCTTTCAGCTTCCATTCAGCTTGCTCTCAGCCTACTTTCAGCCTACTCTCAACTTCCTCTCAGCTTCTTTTTTCAGAATCTTCAGCTTCTTAAGCTTCTTCAACTTCTTCGGATTCTTCGGCTTCTTCGGCTTCTTTAGCTTCGGGCTTGGATTCTTCGGATTCTTCGGATACTGCAGGAGTTATTACTAAAGGAAACCTTTTACCAAAACGTTACCCCGTCCTTATGTTTTCGTCCTCGTTAAAATTCTCGTGCCATAGGCCACTCCCGTTCTGCGGTCTTCCTCAGGTAGTTCCGGTCCCTGTTCTCGTTCCGATTACCGGTAATGTTAGTGAGCCCTGTTTACCTGTTCTAGGGAAGTTATCGTGCTCATACCGGTTCCTTTTCTCTTTCACATGTCCACTTTACCGTCGACGCTAGTTGTTGTTTCCGTTTTGGTTGGTTGTCCGGTTTCTGTTTCTTATATATTTCGGTTCCATATTTTTGTTCCCGCTTTCTGTGGTTTCTTGGATAGGAGCTGATCCCAATTTGTGTTTCGCTTTCCGTTCATGAATCTTCAGAAGCCATGTCCAATTTCTCTTAATCTGTTAAAAGTGTCACTTAACTTGTATATAAATTATATACATTAAAAAATGTGTCCCTGAAACGGTTTCTCAAAATCCAGTTTTATTGCAAAGCGATTCAACAATTAATATTTGTCATTGATCCGTGCGTATGTGTAGCTCGTGTTTCTGTTTCTATTGCTTTACAGCTCCGAAATTTCTAGAAAAAGTGAGTTTTATTGGCGGAGAAGGTTTAAGGTCACGAAATGGGTGTGAATTGAAAAAAAGTAGCGGAAATTAAGTTGTTGGCAAAGATCCGTGGGCGAAAGCGCGTTAAGTCTCGATAGCGTTCGCGTCGAGTGATTAATTTAAGAATGCAATTTGTATTTTCTACATTACGTCAGTTCGGTTGTATTACTTTAGATAAAAATATACACTCAACGTCTAGGTTGATACAACAAAGTACTTTGCGGCCTTTTCGGAAAAACCCGGAAGATAGCTGAAGTAGAAGAGCATTCCCCACCTGAAAATATTTGGGAGTAGGATCGCAGCAAGCCTTATACGAAACTGTCTCTGGTGACACCATCACTCCACTTGGAAAATCATTAACAAGTCATGACGCCTCCTTTATTGAAGGTCTGAAGGCACGTGATTGATTCAGATTCCGTAGAATGGAAACGTGTGGTGCATATCTTGACCTATTCCAACTAATCGGTGCGAGAAGACGATCGCCGTCTAAGATGATGTTTTAATACCGCCTTCCCAGCTGTACGAGGTCAATGTAACTTAAACGCCTATTAAAGGTCATAAATGAAAAGAAGAAATTGCAAATGGGCTTCTATAATTAGAAAATTAAATACGTACATTTCGTAATTCGCTAATAGGTGGCGCTCGAGTGGGCGGATGTGGTGGATACGGCGGAATATCCAAAACGGCCGAGACGTACGTAGCACCCGTCATACACTTGGAGCACTGCCTTCTCAACGCCGGCCGTTGACGCGATCCCCTACATCTCAAAGCGAAGCAGAGCTCGCCGCCCATCTCGGCGCACAGCGACTGCTGCGGCGCGCCCATCGAGCGCTTTTCCGTCAAAGCCGACTTCTTCGAATTGTAACAAAACTCGCAGATCGCCACAATAACGGCGAACGCCAGCCCGCACAGCAAAACCACAAAAACACCGCCGATATTATCCACCCCCAACGAATTCGCTTTCGACTCTTTACCCTTATCGTTCCGCGAGCACGTGTCGCCCGTATTCTTCCACCACTTATCGTAAAGCATTTGGATTTCGCCCTTCTCCTGCAACTCCAATATTGCGAGCGATATCTTATCTCTCCAGGGGCTTCCCATTGGCGTCGCGATTCCGTAACCCTTCGAGTCGAGTAATCCGCCGATTTGCGTTAAGTTACAGTCGCGCTGAACCGCGTAATCTAGCATCGTCGATTCCATAAGAAACGCGTAATTTCCGTCGAGGACCTTCTGTATCCCCTCCTCGTAAGTGCCTACGAATACGGACGGCTTGCGATTCTCCATGAAACGCCACATTTTCTTGTAGGTTTCTATCATCGAGTCCTGAAATGAAAGTCATTATTTAGCATTTGATTCATTTAATGAAGACATGGCAGAATAAGTTTTGGAAACAAATTAATACGAGAAACACGTTTGTGTGCCTTCCAAGTTAAAGAAAATGTTTCGTTTAGGGAAGTTCGCCCCCTAACGTATCAAACTTTGTGTTAAGTACTTCCACAATGTTTTTTGCAGCACGCGTAAAGGAATTCTTTGCTATATTTAAATTTCAATATTCCTGTCGCAAGATGCCCGCTAATCCTCCCTAATTTGTGATTTAAATACATAGGCATGTTTTATAAAAAAGATTAAAAAAATAAAAGAATTATTGCTGTCGATAACAATATGACAAGGGAAAGTCACGGTATGTATATTTTTTAAATGCAATTTAAAAATGCTGCAACGAATCCAACGTTTGCAACCGTTCCCGTCAAGATACTTTGTTGCGTCCGAAAGCTGTTGTCATTTAGGAGACGAGGGCGAATTAATATTTCAGAATTTCCGCTCCGTAAAATCATGATTGGATGATTTTGGTTTTCTATGTTCAACGAGCATTATAACTGCAAGGCCATGCAGTTTTACGCCGGTATCAGGTTAATAAGAAGCCTTTAAGCCTACCTGGGCAATTCCAATTAACAATGAGCCGAATTGGACTAACAACTTTAGAAATTTCAGTCCGGGAAATTAAGTAAGCGGAAATGCGTTGCAGAAACAACCTCCGTTTAGGTCGTGAGTGGTCGCAAAAGCAGCGTTCTTCCGTCCTGCCGTTCTACTCCTATCGCCTTTCTCTCTCTTTTCCTTTTTCCATCTCGTTCTCCATACTTACCTCACTCTGTTGATTTACTCTTCCCTCTTTATGTCCCTTTCTTGTTTATATATAATATGTCTCCTTCTATTTTTCTCGTTCCTTCTATCTTTGTATATTCCCATACCAGATGATCAATATTCTTCTCTCTCTTGTCAGCTCTAACTCATTCTTCTTATCTCGCTCGCTCTCTTGGCCTCATACGCCCATTCCTCTCTTTTGTCGTTGTGTCCATTTCGACTCGGTTTCTTTATATGTGCTCCGCCCGCTTTCTCTTCCTCTTTCTTTATTTTTCCTATAATCTTTTTCATTCCCTCTAACATTTCTCTCCTCGTTCTAGTAACATAAATCGAATTTTCTTCCGGTCCCTCATTTTATTCAATTTAGCCTTCTCTCTCTCCTTTCATCTCCCTCTAATATTTATTTCTCCTTTTTCCCAATCTTTCTTTAGAATATGGATGATCTTGTCTTTCTTGTAACACAAACTACATTTTAATTTATCCTTTTTTCTACCCCTTTCGCCCTTCTCTCTCTTCCCATTTTCCTTGCCTTGTCCATTCTAATCCGTTCTCTTTCTTCACTCGCAGTATTGACTTCCAGTTCTTTCTTCATATATATTTCATTTATAAACTTTTTCATTCAGATCTCCTTCCATCCTCATTTCCTGTGTTTTCTCATTGTATCTATCTTTGTATATTCATATACCATATGATACGCTTCCCCTTCAACTTTGTTTATTTATTTACTGTTCTGCTATTTCATCCCGATCTTGTTTTTTCCATCTTCCTCTGACATTTTTTTCCTGTATTTTTTTTTATCTCTCTATGTTTTGTATATTCCAATACCAGATAATCCAAATTCTCCTCTTTCTTGTTACATAAACTGGATCCTTTCCTATAGTCATTCTACTCTCTTTCCTCGTTGACTCCGTTGACTTCCTCTTTTTCTTTCTTTTCTTATGTACCTTCCTTCTATAATCTTCTTCATCCAGATTCCTTTTCTCTTCCATCTTCCTTTACTATGTGTATTCTCTTTTCTCGTTCTTTCTACCTTTGTATCCCAGTTCGATATTGTCCTCTCTTCTGTCACGTCTTCTACTTTCTATTTTTATTTCCCATTCTTCTATAGTTTTCTTCAACTTTTCTTTTATCTTCCTCTAATGTTTCTGCCTTGTTTTATCTCGTTCTTTCTACCCCTGTATATTTTTAAACCAGGTAATTCATATTCTCCTCTTTTTTGTCACATAAACCGCATTTCCTTTTGTTCCCTTATTCCACTTCTTTCACCTTTCCTTTTCCTCCTTTCCTGCCTCGTCTTGTCTATTCTAACTCGTTCTCTATTTTTTCCTCGATCTGTTCACCTCTTATTTCTTTGTTTATATCCCTTTTTTATGTTCTTCTATTTACCTGTAATATCTTGTTAAGGTTTTTTCGCATTCTTTCTCCTATCTTTTGTTGCTTAATCTTTGCTTCCATTCGTCTTCTCATTCTACTCTTCTCTTTTGTCCTTCTCCTCTTTCTAGTCACATAAACCGTATTTTCTTTCGTTCCTTCTTTATACTCATTTCAACCTTCTCTCACCTTCCATCTTCCTCTAATGATTCTTAATTGCTTCTTTCGTTGTGTTTATTGTGTCTATTGTATATTGTGTCTATTCTGTGTTTGTTGTTTGTTGTGTTTGTTGTGTTTATGGTGTTTGTTGTGTTTGTTGTGTTGGTTGTGTTGGTTGTGTTGGTTGTGTTGGTTGTGTTGGTTGTGTTTGTTGTGTTTGCTGTGTTTATTCTGTCTATTGTGTCTATTGTGTCTATTGTGTCTATTGTGTCTATTGTGTCTATTGTGTCTATTGTGTCTATTGTGTCTATTGTGTCTATTGTGTCTATTGTGTCTATTGTGTCTAATTGTGTCTATTGAGTCTACTGCGTCTACTGCGTCCACTGCGCCTACTGCGTCTATTGCGTCTATTGCCTCTATTGCGTCTATTGCATCTATTGCGTCTACTGCGTCTACTGCGTCTACTGAGTCTACTGTGTCTATTGCGTCTATTGCGTCTATTGCGTCTATTGCGTCTATTGCGTCTACTGCGTCTACTGCATCTACTGCGTCCACTGCGCCTACTGCGTCTATTGCGTCTATTGCCTCTATTGCGTCTATTGCGTCTATTGTGTCGATTGCGTCTACTGCGTCTATTGTGTCTATTGTGTTTAGTGTTGTCATTTTGTTTATTGGGTTTATTCTAACTCGTCCTTTTCATCTCTCTCGCTCTGACTATTCTTTGTTCGTAGCCTTTCGTTCATTTTTTTTATCGAGATCCCCAGTGTCTTCTACCGTTGTGTATACCCATACCATATGGTCCATATTCACTTCTGTGCATAAACTGCATTTCTTTTGGTCCTTTCACTCTTCTCCTTCCTCTCTCATTCTGTTGACTTCCTCTCCTTCTTTCCTTTATGTACCTTTCTTCTGTAATCTTCTTCGTCTGGATTGCTCTTACTTCCCATCTTCCTCTAATAACTCTTTTCTGTATTTTCTCGTTCTTTTTGCCTCTATATATTTGCATACCGGCTGATTCATATTCTTCTCTTTCCAGTCACATAAACCGCATGTTCTTTCGTACCCTCTTTGTACTCGTTTCAGCCTCTCTTTTCCCCTTCCATCTTCCTCTTTGCTTTCTCGTATTTTCATCGATCTTTCTGCATATCCATAGGAGATATCCATCTTCTCGGCTTGTCACATAAACTACATTTCCTTTCACCTCTCTTTCCTCTTGTCCATCCTAACTGGTTCTCCATAATATGTCCATCACCCTGTTGACTTTCTCTTCTTCCTTCTTTCCTTATTTTCCATCATTGTTTAATTTTCTTTATCTATCTTTCACTATATTTCGTTCTTGTTCTCTCTCGTTCTTGCTACCTCTGTGTATTCGAATAACAGATGATCCATTTTCTCCTCTTTCATATCACATAAACATTTCCTTTTGTTTCCTCTCTTCTCTCATTGCGTTCACCAGCTCTCCTAATTTCTCTCTCGCTGTTCGCTCCCTTTTCTTCTTTTTATTTATTTTCTGTTCTTGTATAAACTTCGTCATCCATCATCCAGATCTCTCTCCTTCCGTCTTTCTCCAGCATTTATCCCGTGTTTTGTTCTCGTTCCCTCGACATTTGTATAATCGCTTACCAGATCATCCATATTCTCGTAGTTCTTGTCAGATAAACTTTATCTCCTTTCGTCCTTCCAAGTTTGCCCTTTTTGCTCTTCTTTTTCATCCTCCCTTTTCCCTTTTTCTCCATCACCCCGTTCTGCTGGATTCGTCTTCTTTTTTTATTAGTTCATTTTTCTATAATCTTCTTCATACTTGACCGTAAGTGTTTCAGGTCAATCTTCATTGTCAGCTTCTCTCTTTTGAGTTTGTGTAATTGGCGGTCAAACTTTTCCCTTGACATTTCCTCTTCTTCCTCCTTAAACTCCCAATCTTCCTCTGTGACTGTACCTCTCAATTTTCTTTTTTTATACGTATCTTCTGCTCGTTTCGTCTCTTTTGTTCGCTCAAGCTCTTCCTCCTGTAATTTTTTTTCCATTTTTTCCATCACTGTTTTGTTCATCCATACATTCCCTATTCCACAATTCTCTTCTTTTCTACCATGTCCTTGTCTCTCGCCTGAATTTTTGCACTATTTTCATTCTTGTTTCATATACTTATTATCGTCATCCTTCGTCCCCCATTTCGATCTACTGTTACCATCAAAAGATCCCTCAGGCTTTTGTTATTGTATAACTTGTTCTTTAGGTCCTTTAAATTCGCCAAATTCTTAATTTTCCTAAACTCCTTGAAGCTCTTGAGATTTAATTTCATTTTCTTTGGAGATTTGAGTGGCTTAGAGCCTTCACACTGCCCAAATTCTTTAAATTCTTCAGAACCAACTTAAGATTCCTTTGGACTGTCCTTTTTTTTAATTCTTCATGTTCCTAAGATCTTGTAGACCCTTGAGAGTAGTTAATTTCCTTGGATTGTGGATGCCTTCCTGTGGTTTATATTCTTCAAGCTCTACAACTACTCGGGATTCTCCATATTTTTCAAATCCATAGATTTATGTTAACATTCTTTTGGGTTTTCCTATTTTTAGAATTCTCAAGATACCTGCCTGTTAATTTTCTTGAATTATTGGGACTCTTGAGTGTTTTAGATCCAAATTCAAAGCCAAAAAAAAATGGAATCGTATCAAAACATATCAATATAGCGGATCATGATCGCGCAACCGGAATTTGTTGTGGTACAGCTCATTAATTATGTAATAAAGGTATAGTTCATAGGGTAACCTAACCGTACAGTCAAAACTTACCCGAAAGAATGTCATAGTGGATCCGCTTTCCAACGTGCCGTAAGGAATGTCCGTCTGTCCGGCCAAATCTTCGGCGTTCTCAATCGGTGTAATCATTCGTTCCACGGTTAGAAACGCGGCCAAATTCGCCGTGTACGATGATATAATGATTAGCGTGAAGAACCACCAAATTCCGCCGACTATCCTCGTCGATGTGGCCTGTTGAGTACACAATTAGAATGTTCGCCTCACTTCGAGGCGACGGAAACAAAACCCAAATCTGTCAACAGTTTAAGGCTCCGACAAGTTTTAAAATAAGCACCCATTTTTGTGTAGGCTTTGTGTTGTGAGTATGTTACAAAAGGAAGAGACAGATGAGAAGACAAAAACGGGTGCTCACAAAAACATGCAGGAGTTGACAGAAACGGTTTGAGGAAAGAATGAGTGCTTATTTTACTTGAGTACCTTCGGATTGAGATCCGATCCCTGTTGCATTAACGTGCCAATCGTGAACCAAAACGAATTGGCGAACGAGAATTGGTTTTCGATAATTTCGTTTTCGTAATCGCAAGGGTGCGGGTTATGCCATTCGTATGGGGAGAATCTGGCCACCACAAACATGGTTAGTGAGACCAGCATGTAGGCGGACAGCACGTAAATCCATATGTCCATAGCCAGCGGGTTCATAAAGGAGAATAGACGCGCCTGTTGACTTGTGGGAACCTTAAATGGGGACAGAACGTTAGTGCAAGTCGAGACGTTTGGGTTTTGTTCCTGTTGCTGGCGCGCTACCTGCGGGTTTACTCCCGACGGCTGTCTTAGTAACGTTCCGGTTATAAACCAGAAGCTGTTGGATATGTCGAAGGAGTTTTTTAGGTAGGCCTCTGGACGTCTCTGGACCGTCCATTCGTAGGGTGTAAACCTCGCCAGTGTGAATAGCGTAAAGCATGCCATGAAAAACGCCCCGCCTACGAAAAGCCAGATATCGAAACCTAAAGGGCTCAGAAAGCTGAAAAATGTCGACGCCTTGCTGGTTGGCACCTACAATTACAGAAATTAATGTTAATCTTTGGGTCGAAGGTTACCGTTGAAAATCCTCAGTACGTTTTGACGCAGTAAAGAAAATATACTCTCCTCGAGAAAGTTAAAAAATAAATTCGGAGCTGCCTTTGTGATTGTGCGAGGACCCTTGAGAAATTACGTAAAAAAGTATCAGCGAAAGTTAAAGATTTATTAACAGGAAACACTTTTATAACTCGCAAGCAATTAATGTATCGCGTAGGAAAGAATTCGTCCATCTTCACTAACTCCGCTATAAATATCTGTTGAGAATCCAATGAACTGCTAAATCCACCCATTCGTGTAACGTAATATTAATGAATTCGTATCAGTTCAGTCTTTATTAAGGGCGATTTCAATTAAACGTACTAATAAATTATACAAGCGGCCTTAATAAATTTGGGGTTCGGGTAACTTAAAACGGAAAGGATTAAGACTCACCTTAAAAAGTATGCTTATTCCGAGATTCATAAACGGCTTTGTGAAATCAATTACGCTCTCCCTCGCGTAATTTATCGTCATCGATCCGACCGCCAAATCCGCTTTCTGAAATTTGTTCAAAAGTTATAAATTTCGCAACCTTAGCCTCGGTGCACATTGAGAGCGGCGCCGACTTGGCCCGTGTCGAAAAGAACGTGCACGGAGCCTTAAAGTACATAGTTTGATGGTAATAATCTGTACGAGATGAAACGTAGCTTGACGTTACGAATATGTATGAGTCGGCTATGTTTTTTGGTTATTAATGACGCGACTGCTGGCGTTTTACAAACAAAACTTTCAACTGCGAGCCAAGGACTTAAGCAGGATTATGAATAATGACGTTTCCACAAAGTTAGTTTTATGGCCACTGCGAATGCTGAGCGCCTTAGGAATAAGGTCATATTAAAAGGAAGAAAAAGACGACTTTTTAGTAAAATAAATAAAAATGAAACGGTACTCTGTTAAAAATCAGTCTTGCACGTAATATTTGAGTAATTGAGTAGTGCTGTTTTCTGGGTTGAGGTGTGCTCGATGTTGTATATTCGCGCATAAGGCAGTGTTTCGTGGTGAAACAAGAAAAACGCATTAGAGACTTTCTGGCTCTATTAAATGCACTTATTGTACGAGGAGCTTGCCTCCATTATGTATGCAGATAATAGGTTAGTGATTGGCTATTCACACAGTGCTCATCATGCGAATTCACTGAGTAAGTGAGTTAATGACAAACGTCAGTTGAATATTGAATTTTTTGCATAGTAATTAGAAATAATTTCAGAGCCAACAGGCAACTATTGCTCTTACGGAAACTTTATCAAACTCTCCGACGCTTTGTATAAAACTCAAAAGCTCAAAAAGTGAGAGGTGAACTAAGGAAGTGGCAGCTCAATGTAGAATAATGGAAAATAATTTCACCTTCAGTACTCTCCCACCTCCTTAACTAAATACACCTTCAATCCAGCAACCTTGCTTCGTATCTGTATCAACAACGGCTTAAATGTAATTTTACAAAGTACACAATCGGAGGGTTTCTACAACGTAAGCGAGTGGGCCAATAAAATAGGAAAACGCAGATCGCACAATATTTGCATTGATTTATTTCCAATTGTCACAAGGTTGAATTAAATATCCGGACATTTTTAATTGGTATCACTCCTTGTGATTAGCGTAATTAAAACTTTCCGTTCTTTCGAACGCTAGAAACTTATTAAACTTGAAGCGATAATTAAGACGTTTCGAAATAAAATTGTCGAACAGCTCCCGCAAACTAAGTTTCGAAAGGTATTATCAATTAGCGGGCGATTCGATTTCGATGGCAGTTTCGGTTACTATAATCGGCGGTGATCGGTTATCATGACATTGAGTTCTAACCAGTCTTGACGAAGAAGAATATATTACGAGTAATGTGGACTTCTGATTTTTGTTTTTTTTTGTATCTGTGGGATCAGTCGGATTTTTTAGATCTTTTAGATCCTTCGGATATTTCTAATCTTTCGGATATTTCGCAGCTTTCAAATCTTTCGCATCTTTCTGATTTTTGGATATTTTGGATCTTTTAGATCTTTTGGATATTTTGGATCTTTTGGACCTTTCGGATCTTTCGGATTTTTCGGATCTTTAGGATCTTTTGTCTTTTATCTGATTTCTGATTTTTTTTCATTTGTATCTGTGGGATCATCCGGATTTGTTAGATCTTTCTGATCTTTCAGATGTTTCTAATCTTTCGGACCTTTCGCAGCTTTCAATTCTTTCGAATCTTTCTGATTTTTGGATCTTTTGAATCTTTTGGATATTTTGGATCTTTTGGGTCAGTTGGATTTTTTTTTATGTTTTGTATGTTTAGGATCTTTAGGATCTTTTGGATCTTTTGGGTCATTTGGATTTTTTTGGATCTTTTGATCTTTAGGATTTTAGGATCTTTTAGATCTTTTGGATCTTTCGAATCTCTGATTTTTATCTTTTGGATCTTCTGGATCTTTTGGATCCTTTGGATCTTTTGGATTTTTATATGTTTTAGATCTTTTGCACCTTTTAAACATTTTGAATCTTTTGGATCTTTTGGATGATTTGGATCTTTAGGATCTATTAGATCTTTTGGATTTTTGGATCTTTTGGAACTTTTTCCTTGGATCCCTTGGATCTCTTGGATCTCTTGGATCTTTTGGATCTTTTCGTTCTTTTGGAACGTTTGGATCTTTTGGATTTTTAGGTTTTTTTTAAATCTGTTGGATTTTTTTTAATATGTTGTATCTATTTGATCTATTGAATCTTTTAAAATTTTTGAAACATGAATGTTCTGATTCTTTTAAATTTTTATAGAACGTTTAGGAATTTTTGGATTTGTGTATTTTTTGGATCGCTTGGACTTTTGAATCTCTGGATTGGATCTTTCGAATGTTTGGGATCTTTTGGATCGTTTGGACCCTTGGAACTTTACAGTTCGATTCGGAACATTTGGATTTTTGTTTCTTTTGTGTCTGTTGGATCATTTGGGTATTTGATATTTTGAAACCTTTAAAACTCTGAAATCTTATAAAACTTTTGATTGTTTTAAACTTTTTGGTGCCTTCCGAAACTTTTGATCTTTTGAATCTTTTGATCTTTTGAATCTTTGAATCTTTTGAATCTTTTGAATCTTTTGAATCTTTTGAATCTTTTGAATCTTTTGAATCTTTTGAATCTTTTGATTCTTTTGAATCTTTTGATTCTTTTGAATCTTTTGAATCTTTTGATTCTTTTGAATCTTTTGAATCTTTTGAATCTGTTGAATCTTTTGAATCTTTTGAATCTCTTGAATCTCTTGAATCTCATGAATCTCTTGAATCTCTTGAATCCCTTGAATCTCTTGAACCTCTTGAATCTCTTGGATCTCTTGAATCTCTTGAATCCCTTGAATCTCTGGAATCTGTTGAATCTTTTGAATCTTTTGAATCTTTTGAATCTTTTGAATCTTTTGAATCTTTTGAATCTTTTGAATCTTTTGAATCTTTTGAATCTTTTGAATCTTTTGAATCTTTTCAATTTTTGAATCTTTTGAATCTTTTCCATCTTATCAATCTTTTCAATCTTTTCAATCTTTTCAATCTTTTCAATCTTCAATCTTTTCAATCTTTTCAATCTTCAATCTTTTCAATCTTTCTTTTGATCTTTCGAATCTTTCGAGCCTTTCGAATGTTTCGAATCTTTCGAATCATTCGAATCATTCGAATCATTTGAATTTGAGTCTTTTAATCTCTTAATCTCTGGAATCTATTGAATCTCTGGAATCTCTGGAATCCCTTGAATCTCTTGAATCTCTGAATCTCTTGAATTTCTTGATCTCTTGAAACATTTGAATCTCTTGAATCTTTTGGATCTTTGAATCTATGGATGTTCTTGATTTTGGGTTTTGCATTTTAAGATTCTTTGGATTTTTACGATCTGGAGAATATTTTTGGGAACGTTTGGATCTTTTGGATTTTTATGTTTCTCTTGAATCTGTTGGTTTTTTAAAAATATTTTGTATCTATTTGATCTATTGAATTTTTTTAAATTTTTGAAACTTGAATGTTCTGATTCTTTTAAATTTTTATAGAACGTTTAGGAATTTTTGGATTGTTTATTTTTTGTATCGCTTGGACTTTTGAATCTCTGGATTGGATCTTTCGAATGTTTGGGATCTTTTGGATCGTTTGGACCCTTGGAACTTTTCAGTTCGATTCGGAACATTTGGATTTTTGTTTCTTTTGTGTCTGTTGGATCATTTGGGTATTTGATATTTTGAAACCTTTAAAACTCTGAAATCTTTTAAAACTTTTGATTGTTTTAAACTTTTTGGTGCCTTCCGAAACTTTTGATCTTTTGAATCTTTTAAATCTTTTGAATCTTTTGAATCTTTTGAATCTTTTGAATCTTTCAAATCTTTCGAATCTTTCGAATCTTTCGAATCTTTCGAATCTTTCTAATCTTTCGAATCTTTCTAATCTTTCGAATCTTTCGAATCTTTCGAATCTTTTGAGTCTTTTCAATTTTTGAATCTTTTGAATCTTTTGAATCTTTTCCATCTTTTCAATCTTTTCAATCTTTTCAATCTTTTCAATCTTCAATCTTTTCAATCTTTTCAATCTTTCTTTTGATCTTTCGACTCTTTCGAGCCTTTTATTCTCTTAATCTCTTGAATCTATTGAATCTCTGGAATCTCTTCAATCTCTTGAATCTCTGAATCTCTTGAATTTCTTGATCTCTTGAAACATTTGAATCTCTTGAATCTTTTGGATCTTTGAATCTATGGATGTTCTTGATTTTGGGTTTTGCATTTTAAGATTCTTTGGATTTTTACGATCTGGAGAATATTTTTGGGAACGTTTGGATCTTTTGGATTTTTATGTTTCTCTTGAATCTGTTGGTTTTTTAAAAATATTTTGTATCTATTTGATCTATTGAATTTTTTTAAATTTTTGAAACTTGAATGTTCTGATTCTTTTAAATTTTTATAGAACGTTTAGGAATTTTTGGACTTGTTTATTTTTTGTATCGCTTGGACTTTTGAATCTCTGGATTGGATCTTTCGAATGTTTGAGGTCTTTTGAATCGTTTGGACCTTTGGAACTTTACGGTTCGATTCGGAACTTTTGGATTTTTGTTTCTTTTGGGTCTGTTGGATCATTTGGGTATTTGATATTTTGAGACTTTTAAAACTCTGAAATCTTTTGAAGCTCTTAATTCTTTTAAACTTTTTGGAGCCTCTTGAATCTTTTGGATCTATTGCATTTTTTGAATCTATTTAATCCTTTGAATTTCTTGATCTGCTGGATCTTTTGAATCTTTTGGGTCTTTGGTTTTTTTGGGATCTTTTGGTTCTCTTTGGATGTTTTGGAACTTTTTGATCCTTTGGATCTTTGTTTCATTTAGATCTTTGGTTTTTTTGGATCTATTGCACCTTTTGGATATGTAGTATTTTGTATTGGTCTTCATTTTAGAATTTTTTGGATTTTTGCGATCTGGAGAATATTTTTAAAAACTTGTTGGGATCAATAGGACCACAATAAAATATGTTTAGGGTTTGTAGCCCGTAAGAGTCATCAAGGTCT